GGTACAATACAATACCCTGCATGCGTTGCAGCTCTGCTGCATCAGTTTCATCTCTGCTGCGAAACTTGCATGCAACTTTGCTGCTGCTGCTGCAGAGTTGCATGCACTTTTATCTCATCAGATGATAGAGATATTCTTCTTCCTCTTCCTCTGTGCATGTGGATCGTGGTTGTGCTGCAGGACGAGGTGGTCAGCCGCGTGTTGCTGCCTTCAGGGCACCATGCTGCAGTTGAATTGGAGGTGCTGCATGATACTGCAGAGGTAATGCCTTTTCTTCCTTATGTCTCTCAGCAGCAGCTGCTTGCTGTCATCGCTGCACCCCGCGCCTTCATCGATCGCACTGGCCTGGGGGTACGCCCAGTGCAGGAGGGTCGTTTCTTTCCTGAGTTTGACGGCCAGTATCTCTTAGGCGATTCCACTGTGAGTATTATATTTATGCTTTCAATATAATATTTTTTTATTTTTTATTTATTTATTATATAAATATATATTTCAATACTTGTGCATGTGTAGATGTGTAGTACCTTCATTTTCTGCTTCGTTTCTTTGCTGCGCTTCCTGCTGTTTCTCCGTTTATGCATGTGCTGCTTCTTCTCTTTTGTTGAGTTGCTGCTTTCCTTTATTCACTTGCTGCTGCTTCTCCCTTCGTTCCTTTTCTGCTTCTTTTTCCTTTATACACTTTTTCTGGCTCGTCCCCTTCATTCATCTTCTGCTTTCCCCGCCTTTTATGCATTTGTTGCTACTGCTGCCACCTCTATTAGTATCACCACTACTACATCTACTACACAACACGCTACTACTAGTGCTGTATATTTGTTTAGCTTCTTTGGATTGTTTCTTTTGTGCCGTTGCTCGACTTGAATTTGACTGTGCCAGACGTATTTTCTTACATGAATTAAAGCAATTAAAAACAGGAAAAACTGAAAAAACGTCGTTTTGCATGCATCTTTCTGCACATCATCTGTACTTGTGCAACAACTGTATGAACAGCTAGTGTTTTTTCTGTTGCTGCAATTGGCTGAAATGTTTTTTTTTTTTTTTTCTGTCTCCGTAGACCTCTGACGTTACGCTGCTGCTGCCAAGACGAAGAGGTTCAGGGCAACCAGTGGAATGCCGTGTCAGTGTACCGGCTCTAGGGGGGTACAGCCACGCGGTGCTCGAAGCTGAAGACCGTTGCTACACTTTGCGCCTCAGGAGCGAGAAGATGGATCCTTCTGAGACAGCAGGTGGGACCCACACCCACAAACACACACCAACTTGCATGCGTGCATGCATGTATGCATACATGCATGCGTGCATGCATGTATGCATGCATGCATTCTTCCCTGCATCGCTGCACAACTCCCAGCACAATTCGCTTCACAACCGCCACATATTACACGACGACGACTTTGTCCAACTACATTTTGTACTGCCTTCACTAGCTGAGGTTATACCCGTTTCTCTGGTGGTATAGTCAAGTAATAAGAGCACAGCAAAGAAGAATGGGGAGAAGAAGAAACCTAATTTCAAAAGATTTTAAAAAGGCGTTGCCTAGTGTGCGTTGTTGTTCCTCAGGGGCTATATGTCGAGTTGTTTCGCTCGTGCCAGAGTTCATTTTAACAAATGCATTGAATACTCCTCTCTTCTTCCGGCAGTACGGCACCCCAGGCCCTGCCTTTGAAGGTACGGCGCAGCCTGCAGTGTATCGACAGCTCCGCTCAGAATCCTCCCTCCTTTTTATGCCTTGTCGCTTGTTCTCTTTGCTGAAAAGAGGTAGCTAGGGAGACAGCCTTCGTCATACGGAGCCATGCAGCAACAGTCCCCAGTAGAGAAGTGTATGCTTTATTTCAAGTTCAACTGGCATCTTGCTTGGTTTCTCTCTGGTGTATCTGCTGTCTGCTGCATGCGCAGTTCACCCGGGTCAGAGCTACCCCGTCTACTGGGCGAACTCCGAGCTGCCTCAGGCCATTCAGTTCCGCCCCGGGGCTGGTGACGGCTACGCGTGGTCAGGAGCAGTCGTGGCCAGCGAGGAGACAGCCGGAAAAAGTTGGATTGCCCTCTACAACGGCATGCGAGACGCAGCACCAGGTACGCAGACGGCTTTCTTGCGGTGTTTCACATATATATATATATATATATATATATATATATATATATATATATATATATATATATATATATATA